GTAGGCAGAGGACTTGTATTCAGTGATGTGAGGTAGAATTGGGTCATAAACTCCTCCACTAGGTACCCGCTGGGATCCTCCACAGGGCTGTACCAGGTGTGCGACTTAGCATTAAAGTCTCCAGAAATGAGGATGGGATAGTCTTGAAGTTGCTGAAGGGAATCTACCCAGCTCTCCCCTCTCACGCTGTAGTACGTTGGCAGAGAGCTAGTATTATTAGACACCATTTGATTGATTGACATAAACTCACACCCTTTGTATCCTCGTCTGTCCTCTATCGGTCTATGCCAAACAGGTGATTTCGCGTTGAAATCACCTGCAATAATCCAAGTACTATTACCATTCCGACGGTTTTCTCAAAGTTAATCGGTAGTTTATTAGCTTTGCTCCATTCATAAATTTGGCCTAAGTATTTGTTCGTTATACCTTCCAGCTTATCTACGTTCTGGTGAGTAACCATCAGAAGCAGATCGTCCGCAAAGGCCTGTATGTTTATGTCTTCTTCTTTCATGAGTGAGTTTAGTAGCTCGTCGCACACAATATTCCACAACCCAGGACCGCTTAGCGATCCCTGGGGGCATCCTCTGTTTGTGGATCTATGAATGGTGAAACTGCTGCTGTTGTACTGGATGTTTCTGTCTTTTAAATAGTCTTTGGTCAGGTTGTAGATATTGGCTGGGCAGTTGGTACTACGCAGCCGATTTAGGATACTCGGCCACCAAAGGTGGTCGAATGCCTTGTGGAAGTCGACTTTAATTAGAATGGTGTGTTTGTTTTGCTTCCATCCGTCTTGTATTACCCTTTTTGCTTTTAACGCAGCTTCTATCGTGGACTTCCCCGGCCGGAAGCCGAACTGATTATTATTTAGTTGCCGGGTGTTGTGCAGATGCCAATTGATCCTATCGATAATGAGGCCGTCTAGAAGCTTGCCCATTGTAGGCAGCAAGCTGATCGGCCTATAATCCTTAGGCTCCGTGGGGTTGTCTTTTTTTGGTATGAGCTTAATGTTGGCGATCTTCCACTCGTTTGGGAAGTAGCCAGTATTAAGGCAAGAGTCAAGAATATGGTTAAACGCAATTGGTATTTCTTTATGGGCCTCCTTTAACATTTCCGCCGTGATCCCGTCGATTCCCGGCGTCTTTTTATTGGCCATACTCTTTATTGCATTCTCCACTTCACGAAACGTGTAGGTCCTATCATTTGTGGTGTCTATAGGGTCTTGTGTGATTCTTCTAATGTGTTGATGCTTTGCAGAGTCTTTGTCTTCGTCATCTTCCGGGAAGTGGTACTCCAGGATTCGGTTAATGTTGTCCTTTATGGCGCTGTTGATGTCTGAGTTGTCTTCTATTTCTGTTATGTCTGGTAGATAGGAGGATTTCTGTTTTTTTAGTATGAGATTGTAGGGGAGGTCCCACGGCCTGTTCCTATTTGATTCCGTACAGAACTTCCTCCAGGAGTCTGTACGAGTTTTATTTATCGTTTTTTTATATTGCTTGAGTATTTCTTTATATCTATTTCTGTACTTATTATCCTGGTTAGTATTTTTATTCTTCTCATATTTTTTCCTTGCTCTATTCACCTCCCGTTTCATCTGAGTTAACGAGTCGTTCCACCAGTGTGTTTTCCTTGGTGGTAACGTTTTGTAATTTAGCGCCTTTTCTCCAACAGTCTTTATCGCATTAGTCAGGTGCTTTGCGTATTCCTCTATATCGTTTTTTGTTTTAATCACCGGGAAGTTATAGTCTTGCCACATGTTGGCAAACTCCTGCCTGAAAGTCATCCAGTTTGTTTGTTTAATTTGAAAAAGATTTGACTTAGAGTATCCTGTTGGTATATCTTGATGAATCTGGGTTAATATGTAGCGATGATCACTAGCCGAGGGACTAAGTAGGGTCTCGCAATTGTCAATTCTATGTGCCAAATTGTCAGAGACCAGACAGACGTCTGTCCACCCCTTGGCAAATGGCGTGAAGAAGGTAGGGTGTGTTGTCATGTTTGTCGAGATTAGATTGAACTCCTCCATCATGTCGATAATGAGCCTACCTCTTCTGTCTTCCTTCTCGTGGAAACAAACGGGAGATTTCCCGTTGAGGTCCCCAATGATGATTATGTTTTTATTTTCAAGCTTTCTTAGGACTTCGGATAGTTCCCTGATGCAATCATCATCGTCATCCTCCGGCGAGAAGTAGACGCTGAGAACAAAAATTGGATCAGTCGTATGTAAAATTATTGTTGTGATTCTTTCGTTACATAACTGAGAGATTTTAGCAGTGTCCATTTCGGGATTGCAAATTAGAATGCCGCTTTTCGGTCTGTTTTCCGTGTTACCTGTAATTGCCCGCCATTTACCGAATCTTACTATTTTGTTCTTGATGTAGTAGGGTTCCTGAATTCCGATTATGTCAATATTTTCTTTATTAGCAGTATACACCAGCTGTGAGCATGCCGCCTTGCTCTTCTGGGTGTTTAGGTTGCTATAGACATCTTTAAAAAGTAAAGTAGAGAGCTGTCTGTCTTCTTAGCGACGGACTTAGCCCTTGGAAGTAGGAAGGAAGAGAAAGCATGAGGTTTGAAGTGTGAAAAGAAAGGGAGATAGGAAAGTGTGGAAGAAGGCATGGGACCCAGAGGGCGCCTCGCATCGGGCATTTATTAAATCCTTAAATTTGTTTTTACAAAAAGCCAGATGCAACTGGCAATGGCTACAATGAAATTTTGGTCCCGACAATTAAAACTTAAAATAACAGAAAAACAAAGAAAATTGACAACCAAAAATAATTATATACAATATATACAATTCAACCACAACTTGTGGTAAAAATTTTGAAGAATCTGTCCAGTGCAGTGGTCACCTTGGCCACATACAAATGTCCGATGAATTTTCGACTTGAAAATAGAACCTGCCCATTATGCCAGACAGTAATAATTAGAGAACGGCTCAGTGCGAAAATTGCCAGCCTTATGGCAGGAGAACATTTTGGATTATTGAATATTTCTTATCTTCTGCAGTTCTGCTTTAAAACACGGGCACTGTTTGTCCAACGTGTTGTGATCTGTGTTTCGATATTTTTTCTTTTTGCAATTGACACATGTTGCTTTCTCTTCTTTGTATTCGCAATTTTTTACAAGTGTCCTCCTCCGCATTGACTACAAATCACTTCTTCTGTTTTGCAACTTCTTGCAAGGTGTCCAAATTCCAAGCATTTCATACATCGTTTAATTGGCACATAGTCAAATACTGGGCACCTTGTCCATTCGATGTTTAATTTTCCCTCATTTTTTAAAATTTCTCTTATGACAGTAGTTACTTCCAATACCCATGTATTAAATTCCTTGTTTCTTTGTTGAAATGAGAACTTTATTTCCTTTTGACTCTCTACCGATTCTTGCGCCATGAACTCTGAGAAGCAAAGGTTCTGTTCATATATAATTGAAGTTAAATCTTCTTTTTTAATATGTTTAGGGACTGAAACTATTTTAACAAAAAGCTTGCTTTTGCTTCCTCTTATGGCTTCTAAATGTTTTATCTTTTTTAATTCATGAATTAAAATCTCCATATCATTTCATGCACAAGTGTCGACAGCAATTCCTCCTTGATTAAGGTTTCTGATTCTTTTAATCCCTATTGCCAGTTTAACTGGGTCTATTCTTTTTGTTATTGTTTCTTTAATTGAATCTTGACTTTCCTCTTTCTTTTTGCTGTTTACTATTATTGTGTACTGGGGAGTAGGGGTTTGTAAATTACACTCTGTTTGTTTTGTTCCCATTTTAAGCACTTCACTATAGCTAGTTGGAGACTGTATATTGTTTGTTCCCTTTGAGAGGGTCTCATTAATAGAGATCATTTCTTCTTTTATATTATTTATCTCTCCCACCGTTTTATCTGTGTTAATTTTAATTAACTCTTCCAATTCTGACTTCTTCTTCTCTACTTCCGATTTGTTTATTCTCTTTTTTAGCTCATTAACCTCATTTCTAATGTCTTTAATAATTGTCATTGATTTTCCGTTACTTTCGTTTATTATTTCAACTAATTTTTCTCTAGAGATTGGTAGGATAGATTTTTCCTTTTGTTTAACTTGGTTGTAATTTTCTTTTATCGTTGCTTCAGCTAATTGTATTATTTTAGTTACTTTTTCAGTAATAATTCTTATATGCTCTCCTGTAGCTAGTTTTCCATTAGGATTCCCTTTCATATATCCCTTGATATCGTTCAAAATTTGATAAGATTTCTCCGAAAAAATATCAATGTCATTAGATTCAGCCATTTTAATAACAGAACAATTACCTTGCAACTATCACAATTTCAAAATTCCAATAAAAACAAAATATTTAAATAACGCAGACTTTAATCTATGCCGATAACTTCCTGACTGGGGAATTCCCGTTGCCAAGGAGACGGCCGTTATAAAAAATCGTTACAGGTCGTTGACCTGGTAGAGTGTAAAACTTAAAGAATTTTAAAAACTGCGATTAAAACTTTAATAATTGCTCTATCTTAACCAAATTTACGGAGAATACGTAGGTTGCTATAGACATCCTATATAAAAGGGGATGAAGACCCGGGGCCACTCATAGGTATTGCCCGGGTGTGAAAGGGGGACAGAAAAGAGGAAGACTAGGTGTGGAAGGAGAAGGGGAAGTGAAAGCGTGAAAGGACAGGGGATGAAAGGGAGATAGTCCCATGGGCGCCTTGCATCGGTCTTTATTAAAAACATATAAATATTACAGAATAAAAAATACAAACAGTAAAAGATAAACATATTGCACCCGACAATGTTAGCACAGTTGCACGCTTGGCAACAGATACAAGAGAAAACAGAATTATTTTACATACAGTGAAATACGCGAACATGTAAAACGCGAGATGACCGCAGTTCGCAGTGCCAAACCTTGGCACCCGAAAACTATAACCAAATACACTAGTAACACTATACACAGGACTATACTCAGAAGAGTATAGTCCTGTGTATCAACAGAGGACTATACTCAGAAGAAAACACTTAATTAGATGTAACGTTCCTGAGGTCGAGGACCCCAATTCCTCTTACAAATGAGTAGAGTTCTTTAAAGATTTTCTCGTTGTCGATGAGCGTTTTTGGTTTACTGGGCCAGTTGCTGCCTTCGAGTAACACAGTCTGGATAAGTTTAAGCCTTTGCTGATCAAAAATATGGCACTCGTAAATCAAGTGAAAGTTGTCTTGCAAGGATGTATGATCACACTGGCAGAAGGGGGAGTCACTGTGATTAAAGCGGTGTAGGTAGCTTTTAAAGTTACCATGGCCAGACAATAGCTGGCTAGTGATGTAGTCAATCACAAGATGCTTGCTATTTAACCTTTGTAAAATGTTACGAATGAACTTAAAGGTGCTACGGCCAGTCGACTCTTCTTCCCAGTTCCTCTGCCAAATCCTAACTGAAGTTTGGAAAATAAGCTTTTTTGTTGTCACCAGAGGAATGTCGTAGAAACTGGGCGTCGCAGCGCTGGAGGCAGCTTCCTTGGCCAGCTGGTCTGCCGCCTCGTTTCCAGGCGTTCCAACGTGTGCACGCACCCATTTGAAAATAATTTTCCCTCTGTTCCTACTAAGTTCATTTATGATCTGTATATGTAACTGACCTTTATGTTTAAAGTTACGAAGACCAGAGAGAGCAGTCTTGCTGTCTGAAAAAATACACACCTGAGCATTTGACAGTTCAGCAGTTGTATTGATAAAGCACAGTGCCTTTAAGATAGCGAAGAGCTCGGCTTCTGTGTTGGAGCAAAAGTCCGCTAGGCGATAAGTGTCCGTGTACCACGGGGCAGCCTCTGCACGCCTGTAGCATACGATAGCTGCCCCCACCCCGTGGTCAGACCTAGAACCGTCTGTACAGATTGAGTACTCACAACAATTGCTGTTGTCTGTGCTCCCATCATCAATGGGAAAACTTTTCCCTGGGTGGATCCCCGGAGGAGGATTGTGGGAAACATCAGTGTCGAGATCCAGAAGAAGAGTATTATCTATGTCTAAGTTAGGTAAGTACCCAATGTTAAGGAAGGTGAATAGATCTTCCTTTTTTTGCTCAGAGACTTTTAGGTTTAGCATTGTCTAACGCGCCCATGTTGACTTTACTGTGATGTGAAGTGGAGGGATGCCTGCCAAAACCTGCAGAGCTGACGTAGGCGTTGTCTTATATGCCCCAGTGATGTGGAGAAGATTGATCCGTTGCAGTTTGAGAAGGGTTCTTTTAATATGGGCCTTGTCGGCTGCTTTGCCCCAGATAGGGGAGCCGTACAATACAATTGGTTCAATGGCCTGCTTGTAGATTGTAGTAAGATTGGAGCTGTTCAAGCCCCAAGTTTTCCTGCCCAAGAAACCCATTAGATTAGATAGTTTAGCTGCTTTGTTATAGATGTAGTCTACTTGGGGATTCCATTTTAGGCCTTGGTCGATAACCAGCCCGAGATATTTTAACTCTGTCGTGTATGGAATCCTTACACCGGCTATGTGAACCGAAGGTGGCTTTTTTAATTGAGTCCCATTTGTCATGAGCATACAAACAGACTTTTTAGTATTGATCTTGAGTTTGTTTTGCTGACTCCAGCTGTTGATGACCTGCAAAATCTTATCTGCTTCAACTTGCATCCTTTCACTGTTGTTGCCTGCTAGCAAGATGAGAGTGTCATCAGCATAGGTTTGAATCTTCCATTGTACGTTGATGCTGCTAATATTAAGCTTGAGAATTCTGTCATGGGCTATGTTCCAGAGGCCGGGCCCTGAACAAGAGCCCTGAGGACAGCCTCTGGTCATCGGTCGTAGTAGTGTTTGTTGGAGGTCAAAAATCCCCACTTTCCTATCTTCCAGATAACTCCTGAGTAGGCGGAAAAGGTTGTTCGAACAGCAGTACTTCTGTAATTGGAAGAGAAGGGCAGGCCACCACATCGAGTTGAAGGCGTTTTGGTAATCTAAAGATACAAGGAGAACGTGCTTTGAATCATTCCAAGCGTTTTGAATAAATTGGAGAACACTGAAAAGGTCGTGGTGAGTTGATTTATTAGAAACAAAGCCATACTGATCATGGCTCAATAATTGATTACTGTAAAGGTGATAGTTGATTCTGTCAATCATTAAACGATCAAGGATCTTGCCCAGCGTTGGCAACAAACTTATTGGCCGGAAGTCAGAGGCCGTGGTGTGCTTTGTCTTCCCAGTCTTAGGAATAAACTTTATTGAAGCGATCTTCCAGCATTTGGGAAAAATTGAGGACTCTAGACACTTGTTAAACGTAATAACCAAGGCTGTGGGTACTGCTGCAAAAGCATGTTTCACCATTAGTGCATTAATATTATCGACCCCAGGGGCCTTTTTGTTTCGCTGAGAACGAACGGCCCTCTCCACCTCCTTGTAGGTGAAATGATGATCGTTATTCGTTGCGAGTGAAGCAGGTAAATTGTTCCTAATCTCCGACTGCGCTTCACTATCCGTGTCCCTGTTGTCAAAGGGAAAATGTGTGTCAATTAAGTGCGTAAACGTATCTAGTAGACTTGTGGTAAGTGAACCATTTTCTTTAGTAATAAACGCAGGAATGCTAGTTGGCTTCCTAGATTTAATGACTATCCGGTATGGATCACTCCAGGGTGACCTATTGCCCACGTTTGAACAGTAAGCCTTCCAGGCCTGGGTTCTGGCCCTGTTAATATTAGTTTTGTACTCATTGAAATGGCGAAGATACTCCCTCTTTTTTATTTCTTTTAGAGTAGGGTCATTTTCCCTTTGATACTTCCTATAAAGTCTCCGAATCCTGCTACGTTGGGTACCAAGATTTGAGTTCCACCAGGGCGCATCTCTATTTTTTATTTGATGAGTGGTAGTGGATTGTTGATAAGCAGAAATTATAGACCAGGAGAGATGTTCTGCCAGTTGATTAGCGTCAGTAATATCACATAATAGATTAGAAGTAGGATTTAACCAATTTTGTTGAAAGATTTCCTCGTAGAGTGTCCAGTTTGTGTTGTGCCGTAGAGTGAAAGAATCCTTAATGGAGTGATCATTGTTATTAACCAAGATTTTGATATACCTATGATCGCTTCCTCCATTCTCTTCTATGGTATTGCATGAAAATATAAGATGATGAGCACTTGGGCTGGCCAGAACCAGGTCTACCCAGCTCTCCCCTCTGGTGCAACTATACGTGGCAAGGGGGCTGGTGTTACACGATGATAGGTTGTTCGCAAACATAAATTCACTGACCTTGTGTCCCCTGTTGTCCTCTGTAGGGGCGTGCCAGATAGGCGACTTGGCGTTGAAGTCGCCACATAAAATCCAGGGCTTATTGCTCAGTTGATTACTAAGACTTTGTAAATTACTTATGAGATCCTCAATGGGCCTAAATGGGGAGCAATAGACTGAGGATAGGTAAACTTCTTTGCTGTTGAAGGTAAGAAGCACAGTAGTAACCAAGCAAGAACCCAGATTAGTACAAAAGTTTGCCTTGATTTTATTGTTCCTGATTAGAATGCCTGTTTTTACATTGTTGCCGAAACTATTGGGAGGGAACACCTTCCATTTCCCATAACGGACAATTGTATTTTCTATTAAATAAGGCTCCTGAATGCAGAGTATATCTGCACAGTGCTCACTAGCAATTCTTATAGCCATTGATGAGGCAGCCTTAGACCTTTGTAAAATAATACCAAGCAAAATGAGGGTACTGCTAGTCCCTGTCGCCGTGGAGGAAGGGCACCCATTGGCCGTTCTTTGTGAAGGACTAGGCTGCTGAGTATGTTGTAGAAGATTAGATGCCATAGTTTGTAGTAAATACCTGCTGTTCTTTGATTCTCTGTAGGGTAGGACAGTGCCCACTAAAAGCATTGTGATTAGTGGGCACTTTCCTGTTTGGCGGTTGATTCCGATTATGCTTGCTGCAATTGACACAAAACGGTGTGCTCTCCCTATGCGGGCATTCTTCAAATTTATGCTGTTCAGCACATTGGCTACAGCGCACTAGTTCGTTGCAGTTTTTGGCCATATGGTGAAATCCGCAACAGCGGAAGCACCTTAGTATTGGAATGAAATCATCCACTGTTATATTGGCCCATGATATGGAGAGGTGCTTATGTTTGATGGCTATTGTTCTTATGTGTGGAGACACAGCCAGGACTACATGTCTGCAGTTCTCCTTTACTTGTCCTTTTGTTAAAATTGTACTGATGCTACATTTTGCTAAAAACTCCTCCTTCTCCATGCTTTTAAATATGTCATTTTGTTTGTATATGGTTTCTACTATTTGACTATCCTGTACAGAGTTTGGTACATGCAAAAGGATGATCCTGGGTTTCTTACCATCTGTTGTATAACATTTAATTTTATTCTTAATCTCTGGAATGCTTTGTATGGCCTCTTGTAGGACTTCGCTCTGTTTTGGGTTTTGCACTCTTATACAAATTCCTTCATTACGTATCTTTCTTACACTTTTTATCCTAATCCCCAAAGCTTGGGGTTGTATTTCTTTTTTAATTAAATTTGTTATATTATTAATATCCACTGTTTCACTACAGTTATCTCCATTTGCATATACTAGCACCGCGCTGTTTCCGCCCGATCCTTCGTTCACAATTTTCGCTGATAGGGTTTTGTTTATTGTTTCAGTGGTTTTGCTTGTATTCGCTGAGCTGCATATGTCTTTTGTTTTGGTGATCTAGGAGTGTCAGATCTGTTTCCTGTTGAACAAAGTTGTTCCACTTTGTCAATCAGCACAGGTAATTCATTACTAGTATTGTTATGGTTTGAGCGTAATTCGGTAAGTATTCCATACATTTGTTGAGTGGCAGCAAAAAGTTGCACCACTCTTTTCTTTATCTCCTTTCTTTCTTTTATTTTCAGATTTGATTGATAATTATCCGGCAAAAGATCTAATATTCTTCTTAATTGCCAACTGGCATCATCAAGAATATTCTTTTCAGTACTGTTAGATTCCCTGTCATTTGATATTTCCTCAGTATTGTCATTGATAATTCCCTGTGTGTTATCTTCTAATAACGAATCAGATAACTGTCTTGAATCCTCCATGTTTGCGTAAAAGTGTGCTAGTTGTCAGCCAGGAAGAGTGTGTTGTTGTAAAGATGTGTACAGAAGGCCTGTGGCCGCCAGAACTCTGTCCCAGTTATAACTAACCAGAACAGAGCCAAGGAAAAAAAAGTAAAAGGCTGACCAAAAAGAACTGACCTGCTAGTAAAAGATGATCCAATCTTGCAGAAAAATCCAGCGTTGACTTCTAAACGTTTTGAAATGTGGAGAATTCCTGAAAAACTCCCAAAATAAATATTTTAATCTATAATTTTAATGTAATGCGAAATCCAGATCAAACAAATGCAGAGAGTTATAAAAATAAAACGGATGACGTCACTCAAAGCTTCAAACGATAGCGACTGCTAAGAAAACAGTTAGATATCCGTTGCCTGATGAAAGGTCGTTGACCGTTGCTATGATACCGAAGCTTACGTTCAGTGAAGAAAGTTGGCCAAAATTTAAACTGCCGTAGTTTAAAAACGGTTAATCCTAGGAAAGCGAAACTTTACCAGAATGTTGCTTAAAAACAGTACTCGATGATTATACTAAAGTTTTGTGAACTTAGATCGACTACGGCCCGATGCGGGCTGATTAATGCCGACTGTAACGAAAATTAAAAGTCTAATAACTTCTTAAAAAATATGATTAGGACCACTAATTTTTGACAGATTACTCACAGTTTATCAGGGTTCAGTTCGCCGTTGAAAATTCCGGTTGAACGGATGGCCCCCTTCCGGTAAAAGCGTCCCGAAGTTCGGAGAATTCAAACGATCATTACTCCCGAAAAAATGGTCCAACATGAAAAAGGGTGACACCACTAGGTTCCTCTTTACTTCCGGTTTCCAGCGATATATAACACTTATAATTAAATACCGAACTTTCGCCAAAAACGCAAGTTGAAACAGAGCACACTTTTCACCAACCACTTTATCCAACGACTCTACGCCCTCTGGTTGCTATAGACATGAGTCGAAAAGGAAGGGGGGCTGTCCTAGGACTTAGCCCTGAGAAGGTGAAATTGTAGTGTTGTTTATAGTTGGGTAGAAGGAAGGGGTTGTGGGTTGTGGGGGATGGAGGAAGGTAAAGTTTAGAAGGGAAGTAGGGGGTTTGGGATCTCATGGGCGTCCTGCACCGCATTTATTAAAACAAACAAAATACAATCAGTTACAACAAATACAATAGAAGCAGAGTCCAATTTGGATTGATGCTGCGTTAGTAGAGTGAGTTATGTTACAATTTCTGCAGCGTCAGTTACAGTATCAGCTGGTAAGGTACATCGTTACATTTATAATAAAGGGGTAATACAATGGGGGTTAACAGAAACTCACAATGAACAGAGTACATGGCTATTATTTTTTTACATACAGCTCCTCTTTTAGAGGGGGGAGATAATTCCCAAATACCGAGCATGGGGTGATTCCAGAACAAACATTCCCCATCCGAACAGGGGCCCGACAATAAGATAAAGTCCTGTAGCACCAAGTAAGGTTTAAGAACAGGGTTGACAACAAGCCTCCTCTTCTGATTAATGGTCGAAGATACCACACTCTTTAACAAATGTCTCCAGATGGCCATAGGCTTCCTTGGTTTCACAGTAGAATTCCCAGGGTGGTGGCCAGCATTTACCCATTTGGGTGCATAGAGATTTTAGTTTGTCCCTTTGGGTATCGTACAGTGGGCAGTCCTCCAGGATGTGGCTGACGTCACCCGTTGAAATGTTGTCACAGATGCAGTGGTTATCATCCCTTTTCTTGAATCGGTATAGGTAACTTGGGAGGTTACCATGTCCAGTTAGTAATTGTGTCATTGCGTAAGAAGGGGTGATATGGGTCATTTTTTGGCGGCAGGAGATGGAGGGGAGGAAGAGGTGAGTAAGTCTTCCTGTAGAAGAGTTGGACCAGTTGTTTTGCCATTCTTTTATGACTTTCTTCTGTATATAGCTGCGGATATAACTTTGTGGTAATTTGCTAAAAGATATAGTGAGTTGGTTGCTGCTTGTAGCTCTTTTTGCCAGCACGTCTGCTCTCTCGTTTCCCCGGGACCCAGAATGCCCCGGTACCCAACTGAAGGTGAGATATTTAAGTTTACTTAAGATTCTTGCAAGATATTGGATGTTAACTCCAGTAGCGGTGTTCTTTTTGGTTCCTTTTATACAGTTAAGGACGTAGCGGCTGTCTGTGTTGATTTTGATTGAGCCTTTGAGCTTTTTGATGTTACTAGTTATGAAGTGTAGTGTTTTTTCCATGGCCCAGAGTTCCGCCTGGTTGATTGAGCAATGGTCCGCCAACTTGTAATATTCTTCGTGAGCGGTAGAGCCAGTTTGATTATTGTAGATTACCATTGCCGCACCAGTCCCTTTACTGTTTTTTGCGCCATCAGTATAAATCTCCCAATCATGCTTGGTATGATTACTTTCTTCATTCATGATTATGTTAGTGTTATTGCTATCGGCTGGGTGACCGTGGCCGGTGGTACTGTTTATATGGCTGTCAATTTTGTTAATAATTATCTGATCTATTATCTCTTGGTCCTCCACCTGGTTTAAGGTGTTGATATTGATGGTTTGGGATTGCGGATTATCTCTAACTTGATTATTGGGGTTGTTTTTTATAAGGTTTCGGGTCCAAATTATGCTATTTATTTTAATAGGTATCGGTGTGATGTTGGCAATAACCAGCAGGGCGTCGGTGGGCGCCGTGCGGTAAGCGCGGCAAATCCTGATAGCGAAGGATCTCTGGACCGAGAGGAGTTTTCTTTTTAAGTGAACCAGGTTTGCCCTATGCCCCCAAATCTGGGCCGCATAAAGCAGCGCCGGTTCGATTGCACCAGTATATATTAGCTTACAGTGCTTTGGACTTATGCCCCATTGGTTCCTTGCAATGTGGTGTATCATATTTGCTTTTTGGCTTACTTTCTTGCAGATCTCCTCAATGTGGGTTTTATAGCTTAGGGTAGGATCTAGAAGTACCCCCAGATAATTCAGGTGTGACGTTATTTTGATCTTGTGGTTGTTGATGTATAGACACACTGGCCGCTGGAGTTGTCTTCTGTTCGATTTTTTAGTGCAGACAAGGGCTTCGCATTTTTGATAGTTTATTGGCAGTTTATTATCCTGGCTCCATTGATTTATTTTATTGAGGATTTCATTGCCGTTTTTTTGCAGAGTGTTACAGTTCTGATGTTGTAACAGTATTAGGGTGTCGTCTGCGAACCCCTGTATCTGGATGTCCTCTGCATTGGGGATTGAAGTTAGTAGGTCATTGTACACCAGGTTCCAGAGCCCCGGGCCGCAACGGGAGCAGCCTCTGGTAACCTTCTTTTTAATAACAATACCGTTATTGAAAAACCCAGCCTCTCTGTCTGTTAGATAGTTTAGGGTTATTTTATAGATGTTCCCTGGGCATTTATTCTTCCTTAGATTATTAAGAATCGATGGCCACCAAAGGTGGTCAAACGCCTTTTTGTAATCAACACTTATCAAGAGACCATGTTTATCTTTCGCCCAAGCCTCTTTTATGAAGTTAGTTACACTTTCCAGGGCGGTTATGGTTGACCTACCCGGTCTAAAACCATATTGCTTGTCGCTCATTAAATTCTTACTTTTGAGGTGCCAGTTTATTCGGTTGACAATAAGGCCATCAAGCACCTTGCCCAAGACTGGTAGGAGACTTATGGGTCTATAGTCTTTCTCCTCCATGGGATTTTCTGTTTTAGGGATAAATTTTATACTTGCCAGTTTCCAAGTGTTAGGGAAATAGCCTTTCTGAAGGCAGCTATTATACAATGTAACGAAGGCTATGGGCACGGCATCAAAGGCTCTTTTTATCATTTCTGCTGTAATACCGTCATGCCCCGGGGCGTTTTTGTTTGCCAGAGTGGAAATGGCAGTTTGGATCTCGTTGAAGGAGAACCATCGGTCTTCTTTGCTCTCGTAGACTGTTTCTAACTCTGTTCTAATTTGTTGGTGGTGTGGTTCATCGTTTTGTATGTCATCTTCAGGGAAATGAAAATCCAGCAGTTTGGCGAGGTTATTACTGATATTAAAATTATGGGTGTTACCAGCACCTGGGTTGGAGATTATGTTGGGTAAACTTGTACCTTTCTTCTTTTTGAAGGCAATCCTGTAGGGTTCCCCCCACGGGTCTACCGTTGGTTTGTTGCAAAATTTCCTCCACGCTGTCGATCTATCTGGTTTATGTTTCTTTTGTAGGCTCTTAGAGCTTCCGAATTAGGGTTTCTGAAACGGGATCCCGGTTGTTTTTTTAATCCGGGAAATTTTTCTTATCCTGGGAAATCACGCAAATTTCTTAAAAATTCACTTTTTTTCTTATTTTGTTTTAAGGTTGAGGAGTTTTGCAAATAGAAAGCATAATTAACTCATTCACTGCCAGAATACATTTGTATTTATTAATTTTGAACCTACCTATTAGTTTTTTTAAATTTTTGCTCGTTATAGCATGTCACAAATGGTCAATAATCAATATATAGCTTATTTGTGGCATGACTATAAAAATTCTTTACTTGTCGGAACCTGTAATATCTGGAATAATTGTGCTTACGCTGTCTTGAGTTTTAACCATGCCCAGTAGCTTCAATAAATGCCTGACGCCAGATTGTGCAAATTGGGCAAGGATACAAACGAGTACAAAGTCTGCAAGTATGAAGTTTTTCTTCATAAACCTGATTATTAAAGCCAAATGAATTGCCGAATTATCGAGCTCTAAGCTTGATGCCGCTATTAAAGCAGCCAAGGTAGACAAATCAAGAATACTAGAGAGCGAAAGAAGTACTACAATCTCGAAAACGAACTCGAAAGCTTCCAGGCTACAGGTGAAAAAACACATAATATCTGTCTTCTCTTAAATGCATTAAACACTATTCCAATCACATCAATTGAATCGGAAAGGGCATTCTCGGTGGCAAGACTTTTCATTACTAAAATAAGAATTAGAGTGAGTTATCGGAGTATTGACCATCTTTGCTTTTTAAAATCTTATAAAAGTTTGCAATATTTTGTATTATATTTTATTTAAAAAACGAAAATTACCTTCTAAATTAGAAGTTCATTTTTTTAATTTTTAACTCAATTCAAAACATTTTTTTTGTTGTTGTTGTATGCAGTTTCCAGCAAACTTTAATTAATTTTTTTCTATTTGTGAAAATTTCTACGTTATTTAAAGGTAATTTTTATTATAGGCCTATAGACCTAACACAGCATTATTAATATGATTTTGGAGGTTACAAAACTTTAAAATTACTTTAAAAAATGGAAAATAATTATATCATTTGATTTCAAGATATTTTGTATACCTTAAAAATAATTAATTCTATCCTGGGATCCCGGGAAACAGTTCACTTTTATCCCGGGATCCCGGGACAAGCTAAATACCGGGAAATGAGAAACCCTATTCCGAATATTCCTTCCCCCTCTGAGTTCGTCTATCCTCGCTTGTTTCTCTAATCCATTTTTTCCTGAGCTTTCTGATCTGCTTTCTCTCCCTTTCCAGGTTTTCATCCCACCAATGTGTTTTAAAGTTTTTGGACCTTACCCTGGAGGAAAGGGAGTGGGCACTAGCAATAGAGTTAGTGATGTCGTTGACATAGTTGTCAATTTCCTCTGCGTCTTTCATCTCCTTGAAGCAGTTTTCTCTCCATCTTTTAGCAAAAATTTCCTTAAAGAGGTCCCAATTCGTTAATTTATTATAGTGTTTCTCATGCTGGTGATCGGTTATGTGGTCCGTTTCTAGTGCCGTTAATATGTATCTGTGGTCGCTCAGGGAATCGGTCAAGAGGGTCCGGCATTCAATAACTCTGTTACCAACAATCGTGGGCGCCAGGCAGACATCGGTCCAGCCTTTTGCCCTTGCGGTCTGGAAGGTGGGGATATTCGTGGTATTGAGGGAGATCCCGTTGAATTCGTCGAGTAGGTCCTGTAGGAGCCTACCCCTGTTATCCTCCATCTCGTGGAACCAGATATGAGATTTGGCGTTGCAGTCTCCTGCAACAATATAAGTATGGTTCCCCAATCTCCTTAAGACATTGGCAAGTTCCTCAATGCACTCCTCGTCATTATCAGTGGGTGGGAAGTAAACACTTAAAATATAATCCACGGGCGCCTGGTGGAGTGCTGCCGTGGTGATTCTATTTGTACTAAGGTCTGGGACAAGTGCGATGTTGATATTATTGTTCCTGACAATGATGCCGCATTTAGATCTTTCAGTGCCACCCTTCCTGTTTAGCACTTGCCAACTACCAAACCTGACTATTTCGTTCTGTACAGTATAGGGCTCTTGGATTAGAATTAGATCAGCATTCATGTCGTTTGCCGATTTAATGACCAGCGAGGATGCCGCTTGACTTTTCTGGGTGTTGATTTGTAAGATCCTGAATTTTTTATCTATTACTGTATTACTTGAACTTGTTTGTTGTATTTTATTTGAGACATTATTCATAATTGGTTTGTTTTATCAGCATCTTCTTAAAAGCTTTGAGGACTGGGCATGACTGGGAGAATGCATTATGATTGGTATTGTACTTTTGATTGCCTTGCTGATCTTTGTTTTCCTTTATACAATTGATACATATTGGTTCATCCTGTTGGTTCTCGCATTCTTTAAATTTATGCCGCTTAGTGCAGTGGCTACAACGTTCACTACTACGGAGGTGTACGAAAGAGATAGGAACTTCTTTGTAGGCCTCTTTAAGCATTTCAGCCGTGATTTCGTCAACTCATGGGGATTTCCTGTTGGCCATACTGTTAAGGGCCTTTTTAACTTCCTTGAAGGTAAACAGTTTGTTGTTGTTATTGAGAGTGGTCATTCTAATGCTATTTCTAATCTGTTTCTGTTCATCTGTCTCGTCGTCCTGGTTGTCTTTCGGGAAGTGATAATGTAGGATACTCTTGATGTTTTCTTCTATGTCAATGTGATCGGTGTTGTTATTAGTATTACCAGGGTTGATAATGTCTGGCAGGAAAGAGCTTTTCTGTTTCTTCATCACAAGGTAGTATGGTAGCTCCCAAGGGCCTTTTTTGTTAGAGTCTGAGCAGAATTTTTTCCAGGAGTTGGTTTGTGCCTTATTAATTTGCTTTTTGTAGTTTTTAAATGCCTCCTTATATTGGTTTCTATATTGTTCTTTTTTGGCATCGTTGTTGGTTTTGGTATATTTCTTCCGTAATTTGTCCACCTCCTTTTTCCTCTGGCTAAGTGAGGTGTCCCACCAGTGAGTTTTCCTGGGTGGTAGGCTTTTGTATTGGAGGGCCTTCCTACCTGCTGATTGTAAGGCGTTCGTGAAAAAGTCGGCGTAGTTATTAATGTCCTCGTGAGTTGTTATCGGAGGGAAGTTGTAGTTTCGCCAGATCCTAGAGAATTCCTGCCTGAAGGCAGTCCAGTTTGTCTGTCTTTTCCGGAAGGGGTTGTTTTGTTCATTTATTGTGGGGTTGTTGTACTCAATCTGAGTGAGGATAAACCTATGATCACTGGCAGAGTGGCACAGAAGAGTCTCGCAGTTTTCAATTAGGTGGGAGATGTTGTCAGATACAAGGCAGATGTCTGTCCAGCCCTTGGCGTGTGGGGTGTAAAAAGTGGGATGCGTGGTCATGTTAGTGGAGATCAAGTCGAATTCGTTCATGACATCCGAAATCAATCTCCCTCTGTTGTCCTCTTTCTCGTGGAACCAAATGGGAGATTTCCCATTTAGGTCCTCCATGACCATGATCCTTTTGTTTTTAATCTTCCTGATTGTGTTGGAGAGCTCTTTTATGCATTCCTCGTCACTGTCATCTGGGGAGAAGTAGGTGCTAATTATAATGATCGGGTCCGAGAGTTGTAAGATTACTGTTGTAAGTCTGTCTGAGCACAGGTGTGGGATTTTGGCAATGTCCAGATTGGGGTTGCAGCATATGATGCCACTTTTGGGCCTTGTGTCCTCGTTCCCAGATAAGACGTTCCATCTGCCGAATCTCACAATTTTGTTGTTGATGTAGTACGGCTCCTGGATACAAATGATGTCAATGTTCTTTTCGTTGGCTATATGAATGAGATGGGAGCATGCTGCCTTGCTCTTTTGTGTATTGATCTGAAGAATGTTTACCGTTTTCTGGTTGTATGTCTGCTGGGTTGAGATGGTTGGCTGAGTGTGCTGAATTGGAGTGTTATAGGCCATAATTGGTTCGTTTAATTGCTGTTTCCTTTAGTTTTTTAGTTATTGGGCCGCTCGGGTGTAACGCTCCGTGGTTGGTTGGTTGGCTGCCTCTTTGAGTTTGGTTGGTCTTTGTTGTAGGTATGGCAGTTTACGCAGCACGGTGGTTCATTCAAACGGTCACATTCAGAATATTTATGTTGTTTTCCACAGTGGGTACAGCGTTGTTCTTTGTCACAGTTTTTTGCGATATGTCCCACTCCGCAGCAACGGTAGCACCTCGTTAGTGGAACATAGTCGTCCACCCTGATAGTGGCCCAATTTATAGATAGATGTTTTTCTCGAATTAGAATATTGCGGATAGTTGGCGTGACTGAGATGACTACGTGCCTGCAATTTTCGTTATGTTTGCCTCTAGTTAGGATTGTGCTTATTTTGCATTCATTTTCAAATTCTTCACCTCCTATGTTATCCCATACGTTATTCTGGTTATAGATATATTCTATGATCTTGTCCTCTGGGACAGATTGAGGAACGTTCAAGAGTATTATGCGAGGTCTTCTCCCCTCTGAACGCTTGCATATTATCTTGTTTTGCAGACCTTGTATTTCGTTAATTGCTTTTTCTAGCGTCTCGCTTTGTTTCTTATCACCCACTCTGATACATATACCATTGTTTTTTACCTCTCTTACCGCTTTAATTTTTATCTTTAATTTATGTGGTTCAATTTCCATTTTTAGTTTTTCCGTGACTTCTTTCATGTTGGTAGGAGGTTCTTCTTCGTCCTGTGACTTGGGGTATACTAGTACAGCGTGGGATCCACCAGTACCCTCTGTGTTAATCTTTTGATTTAGAGATTTCTGGATGTTCTTCGTAGTGGCGCTAGGTTTTATGTTTCGTCTTATGACTTCACTATAAGTGGGCTGATGTGCCACTTGCTGAACTTGCTGGACCAGTTGTTGGATGGTACTGGCCCCTCTTACCTCTTTAATGATAGCATGCATCTCGTGTATATAACCAAAAAGTTTTGCTATGCTTTCTCTTATTTTAACACGTTCTTTCTGTTTCACGTTGGTGTTAGTGTGTTCTGGGCAGAGCTCCATAATCACCCCCAGAAGCCTGTTGGCATCTTTTAACAGAAAGTTTTCAGTTTTTTCCATGGTGTCTATGCTGTCTTGTCCATGTTCTTTGCTAGAGCTCCCTTGTCCCTCGTCCAGGGGAGTCAGGGTAACTCTTGGTTCTAGTGTGGATGCTTCCATCGTAGTTGTAGATAAAATAGCAAGAAGATTGTGTTTTGTGTTTAAGTGAGGCACAGTGCCCAAGCAATACTGACACACCGAGTTATCACTCAATGTATCAGTATGGGAAAAGATAGAAATGGGTTTGAAAATACTAAAGAAGTCGGTACTCACCACTAAAAAGTTGGATGGCACCAATGGTCCTTTGTAATCTTCAGGTACACAGTAGGCCAAGAACAGGTATCCCAACAGAAGTCGGCTGCAGTGCACTGGTGAAGTGAAAAGTTGCCACAAACACAGGTGTGAGTTAAAATATTGTCTTAGGAGAAAGTCTTCCAGTACACCTACAGGGGTATCTAGAAGGAGGTGAATGCTGAAGTCTGAAGCTGGTAGTCCCAAAAGAGTCTGAGGGATAGTACCAGTGGCGTACCGTAATGGGGGCGGCCTGCCCTGGGCGGCACTTTTTAGGGGGCCGAATAATTTCACAATAAATAATAATAATATCTTGTAAGAATTTGAAACATTCTAATCCTTATCTGTACTTGCATTGCACGGTAATTGTAAACCAAGATAGAGCGATTGTTTTGTGTCTTAATAATATATTCCTAATTGTTGGGGTTACAGTCAAGACTATATGTCTGTATTTTTCTTCTTCTTTCTTACTTTTTATTATTATTGTTATTTTGATGTCTTTTTCAACTTCATTCTCCTGTAGGTTGTTCCATATATCGTTTTGTTTAACTAATATTTTTATTATTTCATTTTCTTCAATACGTTTAGGTACATTCAGTAATATTACCCTTGGTTTCTTTTTCTCAGATGTTCTACAGTTAACTTTGTCTTGGATTTCCTTTATTCCTTCTATCGCTTCTTTCAGTCTTTTCCCCTCTTCGTTGTTCCCGACTGTTATGCATCTTCCGTCACTTTTTATTGTTTTTATTCCCTTTACTTTTATTTTTATTTGTCTCGGTTGTATACGTTCTTTTATCTCCGATATCACTTCTTCCATATCTACGCTGTTTTCCTTTTCATTATTCGGATAAATGATTACAGCACTGCTGTTTTCAATTTCCCTGTTTGTGTTTATAGTCTTTGTATTTTGGCTTTGTAAGTGTGTCTGTTGTGATCCATTATTCATTTTTGTGACTTCAGCGTAACTTAGATTTCCTTCTCTTGTATTATATTGTTGAGTCTTTGTTGCCAGTTCTTTTATTGTCTCTACTATTGTGGGTGTAATTCTATTTTGTTCTTTCTTTTCTTTTTTTTTTCCTGACCTTATCTCCGACAAAACTCCGTACATTTGTTGTACGGCCGCAAATAATTGCACTATTCTGTCTTTCACCTCTCTCCTCTCCTCTATTCGTATGTTTGTCTTGTAAGGTTCTGGCAATAGGTCCATGATTTTTCTTAATTGGGATTTTGCGTTTCTTAATATTTTATCTTCTATTGATTCACTTGTCTCAGTGTTATAATAGTTTACAGTTATATCACTTGCACTTTCTGGAATTTCTTCCAAGAGTTGATCAACGTTATCCTCCATATTCTCCATTATTATTGCTTAATGAAATATATTAAAATTATAATTAGAAGACTGTGTATTTGTTAAAGTGGGCACAGTGCCAGCAATTCTGTATCATCGAGTCAGTACTCAATGACACAGAAGAAGGAAAGATAGACAATCTTAAAATTATCTTAAAAAACTGTAATCTGTAAAATAAATTGTATTAGAAAGTATTAATCAAATACAATATTAAGTAAAGTAACTTTTAATCCAGTTAAGATAATTATAAAAGCGGTTCCGGTTACTATCAGTAGCCAGCCACCTGTTCTTAAAAGAACATCTGTCGTCTAGACCCAACAATACTGTCTGGAACTACTGTCTGGAAAGACCATCTGGCGTCTAGAAATACCATCTGTCGTCTAGATAGCCGACCATCTGTCGTTTTTAAGATATGGTAACCGAAAATTTATATCAGATAGCCGTTAGAAATGACGGTTATCAATGCAAATTTATATAGACGACCGTTAGAGTTCGTTACAACCAGCTAATTAAATATGCACCAAAGTAAATTAGCTCTAATTTAAATTCTACACACCCCAACTTAATGAAACTTACACCCTATGGTCTTAGTAACCTTTACTAAGTGCCACCCTGTTTTTACCCCCCTAACTTAAAATCCCCCCGCTATAAAATTCGAAAATCCCCAATTTTAGACCTGAATAACTCCCTCCCTACTTGTCCGATCTGAATAAAATTGGTATCAATCTTACCTGCTCTCCATGCTCTTTCTAACGATGTAACTTAAAGTTAATTAGCACCCTTATTTCCGGATCCGAAAAATTTAATTTTCAGGAGAAGAAATTTTTGTGTCTGCTCTCTTCGACTTCCAGACGCCGTCTGGTTGCTATAGACAGTTGCTATAGACATCTTTAAAAAGTAAAGTAGAGAGCTGTCCGTCTTCTTCGCGACGCAATTAGCCCTTGGAAGTAGGAAAGAAGAGAAAGCATGAGGTTTGAAGTGTGAAAAGAAAGGGAGATAGGAAAGTGTGATGACAATGCTCGTGCTTAGGTTTGTACAGAAGTTAACTTTTAGGTTTTTATTCTTGATTAAGATGCCGGATTTCATATTTTCACAGAAATTACTAGTAGGGAAGATCCTCCACCTACCATAACGCACAATTGAATTATTAATGAGGTACGGTTCCTGGACACAGACTACGTCCGCTTGCAACTCATCTGCTATCTTGATCACCATTGAGGATGCCGATTTTGACCTTTGTGCATTAATACTAATTAAGACCAGATCTTCGTTGTGAGTAGGAGTGACCGACGAGGTTTGCCCATTAGTAGCACCCAAATTATTTTGCCTGGGCTGAGTTGCAGAAAGTGAGGTGTTATATGCCATAGTTGGTATTGTAAACCTGTTGTTGTTTGATTCTTAGTAGCATTGAGCATTGCCCACTAAACGCATTGTGGTTAGTGGGCACTTTTTTGTTGGGGGGCTGGTTTCTGTTGTGTTTGCTGCAGTTTATGCAGTATGGCGTGATTACTTTTGATGGGCACTCTTCGAATCTATGCTTCTTCGAACATTGACTGCAGTGCTCCCTTTCTGTGCAATTTTTGGTGATATGATAGAAGCCGCAGCAGCGGAAGCATCTTAATACAGGTATGAAGTCATCCACCAGGATGTTCACCCAAGAAAGGGAGAGATGTTTACTTTTGATGGCTGCAGCCCGAATTTGTGGGGATACGGAGAGAACTACATGTTTACAGTTTTCTTTAACTTTTCCCCTTGTGAGGATAGTGCTAATGGTGCAGCTCTTAGTAAATTCTTCCTCACTCATATTACTGAATGTATTATTCTGTTTAAATAACATTCCTATTAGGTTGTTGTCCACTATCGAGTTGGGGACGTGTAACAGAATTATTCTCGGCTTCCTTCCCTCTGAACGTTTACATGTCACCCTGTCTTTTAGACTTTTAATCTCTTTTATAGCTTTCTCTAGTATGACGCTTTGGTTTTTATCTCCCACTCTTATGCATAATCTGTCCTTAATGTCCCTCACTGCCTTAATGTTAATTTTAAGTTTATGTGGTTCTATGTTACCTTTTATTTCATCAGTAATCGATTTTATACTCATTTGCTGTTCACCTTTGACTTGTGTTTTGGGGTAGACCAACACAGCGTGTGACCCTCCTTCTCCTTCCATATTGATTTTTTGGTGAAGAGATTTCTCTATGTTTTTAGTTGTATTACTTTGTGCTATGTTTCTCTTCACTATTTCGCTGAAAGTGGGCCTTTGTGTTTCTTGCTGCATCATTTGTTGGCTAATGTTGTTAATTAAATTTCCTTTCCGGGCTTCTTTTACTACGGCGTACATCTCGTGTACGAAACCGTACAGTTTAGCCACGTACTCTTATTTTCAGTCTCTCCTTTTGTTTTATGGTACTGTTGGTATGCTCGGGGCATAATTCCATTATTACTCCCAGCATTCTGTTAGCATCCCTGATAAGACTGTTTTCTATGTTATCTGTGTTTTCATCATTTGATGCTTGGGTTGTAGTCTGAGTCCTATCCTCAATAACCTTCTCCAATGGGACCAGCGTAACCCTTGGCTCCAATTGCGTTATTTGTGATAAATCCATACTTAATAAAAGTAAACAAAACTTATAACTAGAAGGCGTGCGTAATGTAAAAGCTGGCCCTGTGCCAAGCTAACCTGCACCACCAAACCGAGATTTAATAATGCAGGCTGAAAGGATAGACTTAAATTAATTAAAACTATAATAAAGTAAACAAAATTTTAAACACAGATGAACAGATGCTCAGTACAACACAACATCAACAAAGCGACCGTTATTCCGTTCTTCTATCGTCCGTTACAACGTCCGTTATGGAAAGCCGAGGTCGATGACCTTCTTCAGTCTGGTGAAGTGAGGAACTACGCTTAATTTATAAATTGCGATAATTCAAATTCTACCGAGTATTTTTAAACGAAACTTGACAGGATTATACGACCGGAGGTCCACCCTCCGATGGCGTCTTCAAAATTAGCGGAAAACCAAATCCGGGCCCGATGCGGGCCGATTTATCCCCATGCAAAAAGTTCGAAAAAATCCTCAAAAAAGGAGATAGAGACCCCAATTTTGGGTGGTGTACTCACCCTGGTAGTGTCCACCTTAATCCGTCTTCATTTCTGAAATGACCTTTGTTTTCTTGAAAATCGAGGTCAAAGTTCACAATCTTAAAGTTGTTGTATTGCCAAAACAGGTGGGCCAAATTTCACTATCCTGACGGCATTCGACGTCAAAAGATTTCCTCTTTCCAGCGATACCTTGAACTTGACACTAGGACCAGAAACACCCGAGAAAACTTAAGTTTAAACAGAGCCCAAGTTCCACACAGCCACACAAAGTCGCGACTAGACGCCCTCTGGTTGCTATAGACATTATACTAAAGATGGTAGAGGGCTGACCGTTTTGATACAGTCTTATGCCCTGTTGGAGTTTGAAGGAAGAGACAGCTTGAGATGAGAAGTGTGAAAGATAGTAAGATAGGATAGGGTGAATAGAAGGCATGAGATCAGAGAGCGTCTTGCACCGGCATTTATTGAATAAAACAAAATTACACAATACAAAAAAGATGAACAGAATACATAGAAAATACATAAAGAATACATGGTAAACAAAGGAAATAACAATATTTACAAGGAACATATCAGACGAGCTCTGATCGCTTTTACATAGTTGAAATGGTTACGATAATAATACAATGATTCAAATTTGTACAGTATAATTACAAATTAAATTTGAACAATCATAAAACAGGTAAAGAATAGGTGCAATATTTACAATTGTATAAAACTAGCACTTAGTCGAGGTCGTCTTCGTCGAGAGTGTCTCGATCAGTGTCGTCCTCTTCTGTTTCTTCGTTAGTCTGGTAGTCGCTAACTGTGTTGTTTCCGCCGGTGTAGTGCTCGATGAGGGCTCCAGTCTTATTAATGTAGTCAGTAAAGTCCTTCCATAAGTCTTTATTTTGGAAGATTTTTGCAGGGTTCGGTGGCCAGCTGCTGTTGTTGAGAAGGTAGTTTTTCATGAGGGTTGCCCTCTGGTCATCGTAGGTTTGGCAACTGAATGCGAAATGTATGGCATCACCAGAGATGTTATTGGAGCAGGAGCATTTGTCTGTGTCCTTCAACCCAAACCTACACAAATAGGAGGGGAAGTTCCCGTGACCTGTTAGAACCTGGGTTATAGGCTTGTTGGGGATGAAATATCTGGCTTTTGTTCTGATGTCGATGGTGGGGATGAAAAGAAAGCAGTTCCTTCCGGTATCTGCCTTCTCCCAGTCTCTTTGCCAAATAGTGTTGACTAAGTTGATCAGTTGCTTTAGGATCCGTTGGGGGATGTCCGTGAAGGATGGCGGGATGTCAGTGTTGGCGCCCAGTTTTGCCAACTTGTCCGCCATTTCATTGCCGTCCACTCCACTATGAGCAGGTACCCATGCGAATTTTAGGTTGCAGATGTTGCCCAGGGCCTTAGCCGTGGTGAGAAGACAGTGAGTTAAAAGAGTAGGGTTGCTGGTATTGTTAAGGCAGTGGAGGGCTGTTTTGCTATCGGTGAGAATACAAATGCTACCTTTGTGAATGTCCTGGTTGTTGATGATATACTGAAGGGCTTTCAAAATTGCCCACACCTCGGCCTGGGCATTAGTACAATGATGAGAGAGTTTATAGTAGCATTGGTAATGGGTTTTGTTGTCAGAGTTTTTAATGGTGAATCCTGCGCCGGTTCCATATTTGTTCTTAGCGCCATCAGTATAAATTATCCATTTGGCTTTATAATTACTGTCGCTCTCGCCGTCCCACTGTATAGTAAAATTGATGGTGTCTGCTGGATGGTAGTTATTTTTGTCCTTTTTTAATTTTCTGTCTATTCCATAGTTATTGTTATGTCTGTCAATGTGAGTGTTGCTCTCGATTATATTAAAGTTTATGTCGTCATCTTCAGGAGGGTGGTTTCCCATTTGGTTGTTCTTCGTTGTAAGGTACCAGTACCAGATTAGTTGTTTTGCTTGAAGATGCACTGGAGGTAAGTTGGCCAACACTTGTAGTGCACTAGTTGGGGCCGTGTTGTAGGCCCTGTTTATTTTGATAAGGTACTTTCTCTGGATCGAGGTCAATTTGCGTCTCATATGGACGTTGTTTAGCGCCTCGTGCCAAACCTGAACTGCATACAACAAGGCGGGTTCAACCGCCGCCTTATAGATAAATTTGGTGTTGGTGTAATTGAGGCCCCAGGTTTTAGAGGTGATCCAGTTTAATAGGTTTACTTTTTTCTCCATGTGATGACAGATGTTTTTGACGTGGGTGTGCCAATTTAACTTTTCATCAAAATAAATCCCCAGGTACTTAATTTCTTGTTGGATTTTGACTTTTTTCTCCCCAATAAAGATTCTGGGTGGTCTCTGTAATCTAGTGCGTTTGTTTTTTCTGGTGCACACCATCCCAACGGTTTTTTCGTGGTTGATTGGTAGCTTGTTATCTTGACTCCATTTGTGTATTTTATCGAGATAAACATTGGTTATTTCTTCAAGTCTGTCCACGTTATGATGGGAAATTGTGAGGAGTAGATCGTCTGCGAAGGCTTGGAGTGTCGCGGTTTCATTCGAAGTAATAGTGTTGAGTAAATCGTCGAATACAAGATTCCAAAGTCCAGGGCCGCTTCGCTAGCCCTGGGGGCAACCTCTGTTGGTATTCCTGGTGATAGTAAAGCTATTGCTGATGTACATAATTTTTCTGTTATTTAAATAGTCATTGATCAATTTATATAGGTTGTTCGGGCAGTTTGTGTCACAGAGACGCTTAAGGACACTCGGCCACCATAAGTGATCGAACGCCTTGTGGTAATCTATGCTTACTAGAATCGTGTGTTGGTTTTTATTCCAGGCCTCGTGGATAATCCTTTTTACTTTCAAAGCAGCGTCGATAGTAGATTTGCCTGGTCGAAACTCGAATTGGTTGGCGTTTTGTTGTTTTGTTATGTTGAGATGCCAGTTAACTCGGTCCATTAAAAGACCGTCAAGAAGTTTACCCATGGTGGGTAACAGGCTGATCGGTCTATAGCTTCTAGCCCCCTCCGGGTTATCAGTTTTAGGGATTAGTTTAATATTTCCGATCTTCCAACTGGTTGGAAAGAAACCAGTGGTGAGGCACGTGTTTAAAATGTGGACAAATGCAATGGGGACTGCATTGTACGCTTCCTTCAGCATTTCCGAAGTGATACTGTCCACACCTGGGGCTTTCTTGTTTGCCATGGTCTTGAGGGCTTTTTTGATCTCTCTAAAAGAGAAGAGATTGTCATTAGGATTGTCAGTTGTTTCCTTGATATTTTTTCTAGTATCTTTATGGCTCTCCATGTCTTCCTCTTGATTGTCTTCCGGGAAGTGAAACTTGAGGATGTCTTTGATGTTATTTTCAATGTCAATATCAGTTGTGTTGTTGTTGTCATTATCGTGAGCAAATATGTCCAGTAGGAAGGTGTTCTTATGTTTTTTCATAATGAGATGGTATGGAAGGTCCCAGGGTCCGTTTTTGTTCGACTCGGTGCAAAATTTCTTCCAAGAGTTGGTACGGGCCTTGTTTATAAGTTTCTTGTAGTGTTTGAGGGCATCCTTGTACCTTTCCTTGTAATGTTGTTTATCATTTTCGTTAATTGCCCTTGTGTATTTCTTCCTAAGTTTGTTAATGTCCTTCTTTTTCTGGTTTAATGAGTCGTCCCACCATGGTGTTCTTCTTGGTGGTAGTTTTCTGAGACGAAGTGCTTTCCTGCCAGCTTTGATAAGTGCGTCAGTGAAAAACTTGGCGTAGTTGTCCATTTCGTCATGAGTGGTCACTAATGGGAAGTCATATCTACGTCAGTTTTCGGCGAATTCCTCTTTAAAGACTGTCCAGTTAGTCTGTTTAGTTTGATAAAGAGTTCATCTGGTTGTTATTGGCGTAAGCCTCGTGGGTAATTTGTGTCAGGATGAAACGGTGATCGCTGGCAGAAGGGCAAAGCAGGGTTTCACAGTTTTCTATTTTGTGTGATAGATTGTCGGAGACAAGGCAGACGTCAGTCCACCCTTTGGCATGTGGGGTATAGGACGTGGGATAAGTAGTCATGTTCGTTGATATTAAATTAAATTCTTCCATGACATCGGATATCATTCTGCCCCTTCGGTCCTCTTTTTCGTGGAACCAAATGGGGCTCTTGCCGTTCAGATCTCCCATGACAATAAAATTTTTGTTTTTAATTTTTCGTAAAGTGTCCGAGAGTTCTTTGATACAGTCCTCGTCTCTGTCTTCAGGTGAAAAGTACGCACTGATAATAATGATAGGGTCGGTGAGTTGAAGAATAACCGTTGTCAATTTTTGGGTGCATAAGTGCGGGATTTTAGCGATGTCAAGTCTGGGATTACAACAGATGATGCCACTTTTTGGAGTTGTGTTTCCATTTCCAGAAAGTACATTCCAACGGCCAAATCTAACTATGCTGTTATTTATGTGGTATGGCTCCTGGATACAAATTAAGTCGATGTTCCTGGCGTTAGCAGTATGGATGAGGTGTGAGCATGCAGCCTTGCTCTTCTGAGTATTGATCTGTAATATGTTGATGATATTGTTGTCTTGCATTTGATTAGTATGGATGTTAGTCTGGGTACTGTGATGTAAGTCGTTATAGGCCATAGTCAGTTCTTTTAATGGCTGTTTCCTTCAGTTTTTTTGTCATAGGACAGTTTGGGTGTAGTGCTCCAAGGTTAGTAGGATGTTTCTTCGAGTTTGGCTGCATTTTGTTATTATTATGACAGTTGATACAGCATGGAGGCTCGTTCAGTCTGTCGCATTCCGTAAATTTGTGGTTCTTTCCGCAGTGTGTACAATGTTGATCCTTGTCACAGTTTTTGGCCATATGGCCGACACCACAACATCGGTAACATCTGAGTAGAGGGATGAAGTCATCCACTTTAATAGTGGCCCAGTTAATGGACAGGTGTTTTTCCCGGATTAGAATGTTTCGTATAGTGGGAGATGCAGTTATGACTATGTGCCTACAGTTCTCCGTATGTTTGCCTCTTGTTATTATGGTACTAACTCTACATTCGTTATTAAATTCCTCCTTTCCTATACTGCCCCATATGTCGTTCTGGTTGTAGGCGTAGTCTATCACACTATCTTCCGGGACCGATTGCGGTACATTTAATAGTATAATACGTGGTTTCCTACCCTCTGACGTCTTACATGTTATCTTGTTTTGTAAGATTTGTATCTGATTGATGGCCTTTTCGAGAGTTTCACTTTGTGCTCTATCGCCAACCCTAATACATATACCGTTGTCTTTGATTTCCTTAACAGCCTTGATTTTTATTTTTAATTTATGCGGTTCTATTTTCTGCTTGAGTTCTTCGGTGACTTTCTCCATGTTGGTTTGTGTTCCTTCGTTGTCCAAGGCCTTTGGATACACCAGGACTGCGTGAGAACCCCCAGTGCCTTCATTGTTAATCTTTTGGTGCAATGATTTTTGAATGTTCTTAGTGGTCACACTTGGTTTGATGTTTCTTTTTATTACATCGCTATAAGTTGGCTGCTGCGATGGTTGATGGGTTAGTTGTTGTATTTTATCCTTGTAGCCTTTTTTTCGTTGATTTCTGGTCTCCTTCACAATGGCAAACATCTCGTGCAGAAACCCGTACATATTGGCTACACTTTCTCTAATTTTAAGCCTCTCCTGCTTTACGTTTGTGTTTGTGTGCTCAGGGCACAGTTCCATAACAATACCCAGCAGTTTGTTGGCCTCCCTTATGAGAGTGTCCTCAATTTCTTCCTTGTTGTTGTTGTTTGGATGATCGAGGGCTTTGCAGGAATCCTCCTGTTCCTCGTCTATAGGGGTCAAGTTGACCCTCGGAACCAGTTTTGATGGTTCCATAGTGAGCAGTTAGTGCAAAGATGAGGAGATTGTGTATTGTGTACAAGAATGGCACAGTGCCTAAGCAATACTGACACACCAAGTTGGCACTCAGTGTATCAGTATAGGAAGAGTAAGAAATGGAGTGGGTTTAACAAAGGTAGGCAGTACTCACCACTAAAAGGTTGGTAGATACCAGTAGTCCTGACACTACTTGTTGATGACAGGTAGGTTCACACTTGGCTCACTGTCTGACAAAATTTGTCAGACGCAACATGCACAGTGATCACCCTCACACCAGTAGTGCCTGTGCAGGCTGTCTATATAGGGTGGAGGGATGCTGAAGGTGGCCAAGCTAGCTTGGCCTAATGTGCCGCTTGATGTGGCCTAATTTTTGGATATTACTGACCTGTATTTAATGCCCTTTCACATGGTGTTATTCAACCTTAATTAATTCCTGTTCTTCCGGTTTTCAAAATCGAAGATTTGAGAGCTAAAGGAAAAAACGTCTGGTCTGAACAATCGTCTGGCTGCAACTGGTTGCTATAGACATTGTGAGGGGGTTTGTGACGGGCCGCACTCGAAGGTATAGCCCCGAAACCAGAAACGAAAGGTAGAGGGAATAGATGTGCAAAGAGGTAAGGTGAAGGTGAATGAAAGTGTGATAGGAAAGTGAAAGAGTTAGGGGTCCCATGGGCGCCTTGCATCGGCATTTATTAATAGAAAACAAATACATCAATTAATATTACAGTACCAGTACATGAGTTTTACAGAAGGTTACAAACAATATATGGCGCGACGATGCTATACAAACTAGGGTAACAATATATACAATTTAAACAAAATAGGGTACAGGCTACCAATATGGGCCCAATGTACTACCGCGTAACAAGATGCTATCACTGCAGCAAATTTGTACCAATTGGCACAAGCAGAGTTACAATAGCCAAGTTAGGGTCCGAGTACACTGCGAACACAGCATTAGTCCAATATTTTTATTGCTTTTACAAAAGTTTTGAGTGCCTTGTAGTAGTTCGTGCACTCAATCAAAGCTTGACTTTGGCAGGGCCAAAGGTCATTATTACTTTGGACCGCGCTTATAAGATGTCTTCTTTCATTCCTGTGGTTAGGACAGTTCCAGATTAAGTGATGGGAGTCTTCTTCCTCATTGAGGCTACACAAGCACTTACCGTTGGTCTTTTGCAGGAACCTTCGTAGGTAGCTACGGAGGTTCCCGTGTCCTGTGACGAGCTGCGTGATACTATGGTTCGTAATGAAATGTTTATAGTGACTCCTTCGTCGGACATCCGGTATGAAACTGTAGGTCATCCTGCCTGTGTGACTGGAGTCCCACCTTTCTTGCCAAGTTTTCCACGTGTAGTCCCTGATATAGTTCTTTACCCATGTTGGCGGGATAAGGGCAAAAGAGGTGTTGTTACACCGGGTGTGGGCCGTGCGCGCCAATAGGTCGGCCCTCTCATTTCCGGGGACCCCTGAGTGGCCGCGGACCCAGGAGAAGTTGATGGAGATTTTATGGTTGATGGTGAGTAGAAGGTTGATGCTGTTGTTCACTATGTTGTGCTTTATGTTAATGTTTTTTAACTGTTGCTGGGCCACACGGCTGTCACTGTAGATCGTGATAGTTTTGATGTTGTAGCAGGCGTAGTTGTCCTGTATCCATTGCAGGGCCCTGTAAATCGCCAGGGACTCGGCCTGGTTAGCCGTACAATGGTTGGTCAGCTTATAACTGGCCTGATAGATGTTCTTGGAATTGTTCATTACAACCAAAGCGCATCCAACCCCGTCCTCTGATTTAGAGCCATCTGTGTACACACTGTAGTCTGTAGGAGTCTCGGTGTGTCCATGATGAAGTGTTCATCCAGTGAGGTGATAGGATGAAGAAGTTGATGCTGGTAGTTGTGGTCAAGCCCATACCTGTTGATGTGGTCAGTGATATTGTTTAGTGTCGTACTATCAACCATGTTTCCCATAATTTTGTTGAGGTCTTGTGAGCTGATGGTTTGTTTTGCTAATTTCCGTTGTTGGTGGTTCCAGAACTTTTCGGTGATAATAAGGTCGATGGGGATCAAGTTTGCGATTGCCAGTAGGGCGTCCGTCGGGGCTGTCTTGTAGGCTTTTGTGATGGATATTAGGGCTAGTCTCTGTGCCGAAAGCAGCTTCCTTTTTATATGGACTTTAGAGACGGATGCCCCCCAGACCTCTGACCCGTAAGTCAGGATTGCCTCTATAACCGCCACGTACATGAGTCGGCAAGCCGCACTACCATAGCCCCAGTGGCTCCTGGCGATGGAAGCCAGAGAGTGCAAGGCCGTGACCGCCTTCTCATATGCGTAGTGAGCTTGTAGTTTCCAGGTTAGCCTGTTATCCAGTATGACCCCTAGATATTTGAGCTTATCGCTGTTTTTTATCCTGTTGCCATCCATCTTTATGATGGGCTCTTTGTGGAGGGGGGTAGCCCTTGGGAAGACCACACAGCTGCTCTTGTCGTAGTTTATTCGTAGCTTCATTTTGTGACACCATCCAGAAATGACTCTTAGTATGTCGTTAGTCCTTGCCTGCAGTACTTCTTGGTTCCTGTGCGATAGCGCCAGGATGGTATCATCTGCATAGCCCTGGATGCTGCAGTTGTTGTCCCCAGGGAAGGTTGACCTTAGATTTAAGAGACCGTTGTACATCATGTTCCATAGGAACGGGCCTGACCTTGATCCCTGGGGCAGCCCCTGTTGATATTCTTCTGCAGGTGTGTCTGGTTGTTGTTGTTGACCGTGATCCTCCTATTGTTCAGGTAGTCCTTCACCAGTGCATAGATGTTTCCTGGGCATCCAGTATCCTTGATGCTGTTCAGGATGGTGGGCCACCATGCGTGGTCAAAAGCACCTTTGAAATCTATTGAGATCACCATGGTGTGCTCTCCTTTTCCCTTGGCCTCTTGTATGTAATTCACAATATTGTCTAGGGCTGTTATAGTACTCCTCCCACACCTAAAACCATATTGATTGCTATTTAGGTGGTTGTTATGTTCGCAATGATAAACCATCCTGTTTACCATAAGCCTGTCCAAGACCTTCCCCAGTACTGGAAGAAGGGAGATCGGGCGGTAATCCGATGGATTCGATGGGTTCTTATTTTTCGGGATGAGCTTTATCGATGCTATCTTCCAGATGTTCGGAAAGAGCGCTAACTGTAGGCATTGTTATATAACACACAGAATACGGTAGGAATTGCCTCGAAGGCCATTTTCGCCATCTTTGGTGTGATGGCATCCGGACCAGGGGCCTTCCGTAGCTTTAGCTTTTTAAATTCCTTCGCAAACTCTTGGTTCGTAAACTGGCTGTCGTTTTCTGTGTTGGGGCTTGTGTTACAATCTTCCCTGATTTTAGCGTGGATACTATCATCTGTTGAGAGGTCGTCTTCTGGGAAGAGGTCTCTGAGGATGCGGTGGTATGTGTCCTCGATAGACGTACTTGGGTTAGTGATGTTGTGTTCAAAGTTGTTTGGGATTTTACTTCCCTTCAACTTGCCCCTTACTATGTAGTAAGGAGCGGACCAGGGTTTGTTTTGACCCCTGCTTGAACAGAACTCCCTCCATGAGTCCGTGCGGGCTTTGCAGAGGGAAGTTTTGTACCTTCTGAAGAGTGTAAGATACTCTTGCGAAAGGGTCTCTCGTCTGTCATGATCTGTCTCACGCCTGAATCTATTTCTGGATTTT